GGGAGACGTCTCGGGATAAATCGGCGACTCGAGACGCTGGGCCCCGCAGACATCTGTTGAGCGATGTTGTTGTTGTTCTTACGTCAACGTTATTTGGCAACGTTGTCAAGGCCGACAGCTCCTCAGGGACGTGGGGTTACTTGGAGGTCGAGCTGCGTTTTAGCCTCGCTTTCACGGGACTCTAGTCGAAGGGTCGGCCGATCTGCGTAAGTTCTGCATCGCTCCGCTGAGATTTCGGCTGAAGCGCGAACGACCATGTGGTGCTTGTCTTAGTACGCGTGCGTGTCTGGTCGTGTCGTGCGTGCACGCATGTATGGGTAAAACTTTGAGGATCGCACGCCTTTCTTGCCTGGGTAGATTGAAGAGTGGGTGCGCGACCGGCGTGGCGATCAGGTTCACGCTCTAGCGGTGGTTGTCCTCCGCCTGGAAATCAATGTCGTCGGGGAATTTCCGGGGGTTTCCCGGGCGGGACGATTCCCTCGTTCTTTGGCAAACTAGCTAGCTAGCGGAGGAAAGAGTGGTGAAAGCCAATAGATGGCCGGTCCGTCGGTTTATGGGTCGGTCGATCAGACAGTGGGTCTGTCGTGCAGTCAGTCAGTCAAATAGTTTCCCGGTCCATCATACCAGCAGCTATCGTCTTTATGATTCCAGGAGGAGGGAGATCTAAAATTAGCTGAACGCGTTCTCCGAATAGATTGTGGAAAATGCCGAACGGCGAGCATCGGGAAACGTCAGCATTCTGAAGCTAGCCGTAGAAATTCGATCTATCGTTGTAGCGAGCCTTTCTGTGGCAGCGACCGATGATCCGACATTCTCGTCTCACTCGACTCGTCCGTGCCTCCACGATCGACTTTTTGTGCGTAACGACCGACCTTCCGTGGCGAATATAAATTATCGCCGCAGATATCCACTGCTTGTCCGGCTCATTTTAGAAGTCACCAGCTCATTGATTGTGTGGCAAACCGGTCGTCTTTGCTATGATTTGTCACAAGTCGGCTCGTCACTTATGTTCGGACGTAAACCGACGAAACGTTTCAGTCGTCGGAGCTCCGGCTATGACTCAACGGAAAACAAAGACGAGGGTGAGCCAACAGAGACGGGATCGATTATTATCCTGACAAGACGTATTCGGTCCCGTGGATTCCCCTGAACATGAACGACATCGTCACCAGATGGCTCCTGAGGCGAGAGAAGATGCTGAAAGACTTGCGTACAGTTACACGGCCGCCTGCTCCCCTCTCGGAACATATTTCGCGAGTCTGAATGTCGACGGCCTGCGCTTATCGTTCCGTCTTCTATGACGCCTTTCCCGGTAATCTAATATTCCATACGATCTTCGAGGGTATCTTGGAGGAACCCACAGTGTTCTTGAGAGGATACTATCGATGTGCCCCCATCGATGATATCATCCCATTCGCGAGGGAGATACCGAGTTCTTCTTTATCCGAAATCCGCCGTAGAATTTGGAAGGGACCTCCCGATGGTCAATATTTAGAAGCCTCCTCGATTCAAATAGATTACCGAAGCACTCTTTAAACGAAACCCCAGCGAGCCGAGTCTGTGCTCAGCTTGAGGATTCGCCTTTCAGCCCGACTATGGGCAATATGATGGGCATCTGCCCCTGGGAACTCTGCGGTTCTACTGAGAATACTTCGGTAATTGAGTCATCCGCAACTGATCTATTTTACGATGAAGTCGCGAACAAGTGAATCGTTCTCACGGGCTATCTACGACCGACATCAACCAATCATTCCCCTATCGGCTCTTCCTCCTCTGACACTGGGCTAAATCTAATTCCCCGTGGATTAGATTCCCGAGATGATCGAATTCCTCGCTGTTCCCGAGCTGGAACCTAGACCGACACCGCCCAGGAGTCACGAGTGATCTGTTGCCCTCGGTCACTGCTGTGGATCCTTTCAGTCCTCATCGGATGCATGATCATCTACGGATGAAGTATTTTCGGTTCTCGTTGGACAAACCAGTGATAATTTAATCTAATGATTCAGATTCATTACAAGGGAAAGGGGCAAATTGCCCGAGCTCAGCCTTCAGCTCGTTTAGAGAGCAGTGTCACGATACGCTTCGAAGTTTCGACCGAATGTTCTGAATTTTAATACATGTTCCGTGAGCAAGTCATGGTCTCCTCTACGGTGAGCTGGACCGACGCTGTCGTCGTCGACGTCAGTGACAGCGTCAAGCACCACTGCTCATCTCGATTGTGGTCACGTGAACGAGAAAAACTTCCTTTTGGAACTATACACGGCACTGGTGCGAGTCTGGCCATCGACAGCCTATTCTGTGTTGATTGCGGCACGCTTGCATGTGCCTACTTGACAGCATCGAGCTGACAGGGAGCGGCCGATGTCGGGGTCGAAATGTCACGAAAATCGATGAATGAAAGTGAAGCGTCAGGAGGAATTGCGGTCTGTGGTCCCACGCTCGGGTTCGTGGTCCCCTCGATGACCAGAAAAGTCATAAGATGTCTGGAATTGTTCCGGCCGGAACCCGATCGGATGAGTTCAATATTTATTGGCAATGATGGATTCGGGCGTCCTTGCAACGAGCGGCATCATATTTATGGCCCATTCTTCCGGCATCAGGTGCCGATGCTCGAACGGATTGCTGCCAAGCTCGAAAAACGAAACGATTCATCGCGTCAAGCCTCCTTGTAACTATATGAGTGTGATTATGGCTCCTAAGGTGCTGACGTTGGGGCCGGGAGATTCTCATCCTCTCTCGGCGAAGAAAACAGCCGACGGCGGGCCAGAGGCGAAACATCGGTCGCGACTGAGAAGCATAGCCCCCGATGATGACTCGGGCAAGCCCAACCACGCGGACGAAGCCGAGATCCCTTTCCAGTGACATTTCCCCGATATTTTTCGGACGACCTCGTTGCGAGGACTCTTGGCTCGTCATCACACGTCGAGCTGAGAGGAGCGCTCCTTTGGGGAAAACAATCGGGACACGAGTACGGTGCCGATGCGAAATCGCTGCTCATCATTCGGTTATTGCGACGGGCAGAGCAGCTGGATGCGAATGAATGCCGACAGCGATTCGCTCGATCAAACGTTCGGGATCGGTGGGATTTCCATTGTGTTTTCTCGGGGTGCTGGAGATTTTCCATCTCCTCCTTGTAAGGGGTATAAACCAAGGTTTCTCCACCTAGGGGAAGCCTGGGGGACAGGTCGCTTTTCAAGCTCTCCGTGAGCGCCCTTCGTAGGTAGAGTCTAAAGAACAAATTTCAGCGAAACGAAGTCGCTGAATTGCGTTCCAGAGTCCTGACAAAGAGCAGCTGCGGGCAACGCTGAGGGCTTTGACCTTTGAGTCAGCGAAGCCTCGCAAGAGTTCAACCCACAGCTCTGCGGGTTCAGCGGCTGATCGGGCGAGAGCTCTACCGGGCTGGATGACGGGATGAGCCGCGCACCGAGGGACTCCCTAATACGGACTGATTCTCTGGAAAAATTTCTCGCCTCGTCCGTTTAACTTGCACGAGTGCTGTTTTCGGGGGTCACCGCTCCGTCAACTGGATGTCGCTAGCCGACGGGATCGGTCCTCATCAGGAAAGAACAAACGCTCGAAAGCGAAAGCTGCCAAGCCTTAGACGCAGAGCGTTATTAGGATAGTCGATAGGTTTGTGTAGGTAGATAAGAGTAGGTATTCGCCGTGCTAAAGTCGGGCGAAGGACCGTTCGGGCAGTTCTAACCGACATGATGAGCTGACCAAACCGTAAGATACGTCGGTCGGCCCGAGCCTTTAACTAGAGGAGAATAAATTCCTTCTTCCGTCGTAGGAATATTCTGTGCTGATGCGAATAGGCAGCAGCTCAGCGACAGAGGCTGCGAATTCGGGATGATTCGGTAGCTGCATTCCTAGACGACGATATCTGAGATTTGTGAGCTTTGATTGGCGCTGTTTACTTTCTTGGAACGACGTCTGGAATGCACGGTATGGACTCTGCGTGTTCTTTGCGGGAACAGGGCCCTCTAATCGGAGAGAGGTAATGCCAGTTGCGGTAATCGAAGGACCCGAGTCAGAGACCACGGGTTCCGAAATCGTGGGTATGCGGGCTATGGGGATGAATAATTTCCACAGAGCTTTCGAAATCGTCTTACGACGGTCGACATTCATCCAGCCTCTGGCTCGATTCGAGAGTCGTCCAAAAGACGTTCCATTCTCCCCTGTACGGGCTGATCATTACCATAATTGGAAGTTCCCGAGCTGTGGATTTGTTGAATCGATGGTGGAGCGTGATCGGGGAACGTGTCTTCAAATTCATTCTCTGCGAAGTATTCCCCATGATAAAAGCCTGAGAAAAAGAGCTGAGAGACCATTGAACAGGTGGCCGCAATGGGAGAAAGCTCAAGCTCGCTGGCTCGAAAGGCGAGAGTTAGAGATTCTTTCCCTTCTCAACGGTTATTAAGCACGTTTTAGCGACGGGCTCGAATGTGGGTGGCGAAGCAGCTTCATGCTATGAATTCTATTTCTAGAGTGAACGATAGTATAAAAGAGAATCACGGAGCGGTCGTGACATCCGCAGAAGCGTACGATGTCGTTTACATAATTTCGAAAGAGCTTCAGCTACAGTGAACGGATAGATAGTTGATCGAGACCGGCTTGCGCGATTCGGGCATGAAAGAGCGTCGAATCGATGCGCTTCAAAGATCGATGCGTAGAAAACAGTACGGTCGCCGGAATATCCGAGAAACAGGAATGCCTCGATGAGGGGGCGACTCTTCTTTGCCCGTATCATAATGGACTCCATGTCCCCGAAGAGGTAGATGTCTTTCCTGCGGCTCGAAAGGCTCTGGGAAGCACGCCAAGCTTGTCCTAGAATTATCATCCCATCCTGCGCCGTCCATTCTCCGTCGTCGTCGGTTTTTTCCCTCCGCGTTTCTCCGATTGGGAGCGTAGCCAACGCATGGACGTCTCCCCTTGTCGTTCCTCCTGATAGGAACGGAGGGAAGAGGTTTTTCGGCGCTCGCATCCCGTACGAGGGAATCATGGAGCACTGTCGGGACGACGCCGATGCGAAAAAAGCTCGAATCGGCGGGAAACCGACGACTCGAGTCCCTCCGAGTTTCCGTCTGACGCAGAGCGTAGCGATTGAGGTAGAGGTTCCACAACAATCCTCGTGGAAATTGACACGAGGTGTCAGGAAAACCGTCTAACCGCGTATTTTCGTTTTTCAGGAACAGTCATCGAATAAGCGCCCTTTTATGGCGGGCTTCACCGCGTTTCCCCCGAAACGGGGACTCTACAATCCGGAGAATGAACGCGAGGCCTGCGGAGTCGGTTTCGTCGTCTCCATCGATGGGAATCAAACCCACAAAGTGAGTTTTTCTCAACTACGAGCCCCTAGGTTCGCAAGATGATGGGCTGCCTGGGCCCGGAATGCTCGAGGAACTTGGAGAGTTCGGAATCAATGGATGTGACACGGAGGAAATGCGGAGGCTCCCGCGTGTTGCGCAAGGGTTGTCGGGACCTGATCCGCTCAGCGCGAGGTCCCGCCGTCTGAATGATTGCGGCACGCAGTGATGCAAGTCATCGCATAGTTTATGTTCATAATGATGAGCTCCTTCCGAGGTCGTACAAAGGTCGGAGAGCGCTGGAACGAGCGCTGTTTGCTCAAGTTATTTTCGTAATGGTTTGTAGACAGCCAATTTCTCGCAGAGCTCTCCGAAGTTCAGTGGTGTAGAGCTGACAGGAAAGGTCGCGATAGCCGTCTGTCAGGCTCATTCGCTCCCCATGTTCGGTCGTTCTCTTTCCCCGCCCCCCGTGCCGTCTTGTGACAAGGCATCAGATTCTGTCGTTGATACTTTCCGCTTTCCTCTACCCCGTCTTGCGCCCGCCTGGAAAATCCATTCCTTACCGGCAATGCTCCCAAATCATTCAATGCACTCTTCGGCAAAGGTCATTCCGTCGGAAAATCAGGTTTCTGCCATGATAGACGGGGAAAAACGTTCAAAAATAGTGCGGAAACGTACGGTTCTCTGTTATCAGCAACCGGACAAGACTCGCAGGGAGAGCTCAATACTATATTCGGCGAGAAGCTCGGCCACTCGATTCGTTTGCCGGCGAATCCTCGCGATACCGTTCGTTGTACATCTCGCCTAGCTCACTGAGCTCAACTCGTGTGGCGAGCGTGGGTGTGTTTGCTTAGGCCGAGACTTGCTTTCGTCACACATACGAGATGAGCTCTCGAATTCCAGTCGCAGTACAAATAAGATTCCGCAAGTAATAAGCGGCGGTGACAGCCGTATGTGAGCCGAAGCTAGAACCGGCGCCTTCGTCTCCGACGGAAAATCGAGACGGCAACAGGAATCTAAGCCAACTTACCGCACCAACGCCATGTTTTCTTTCGAGTTCTTTCTTCAGAGAAATCGTGAGCGTAAATGTCAGAGAGCCCCACAGAGACATTCTCACCCATTCCAATTCGTTGGCGGGAATTTCTACATCCTCGACGCACTCCCCGACATTCCCGTCCTCCCTTCCCCCTCTGACTTGTCAGTGAGACATCAAGCCCCCAAACACTATTCCAAATCGTGTGTTCCGCAAGTGTTGCCCCGAAACCTGGCGTCGGGGAATCAAGAGATTGACTCCATTCTATTCTGAGTCGGCGATATCGATGATCACTCCCCTGGAGCTCTGGCTGTGGCCGTGTTCCCCGATATCGTAGGCGGTTCGAGTTTCTGCGAGACGCTCACCCGACTCAGTCGACAGAGGAGGACCAGCTCTCGAGTGGGAGATCCATTGTCGAGACCCAATCCCGCATCACATTATACGGATATTTCCCGCTGCCCACCGAACGCATCATTTCGCAATGGTCATCTGACCGAATACTTTGGGTGTATTGGAAGCTGTGAGAATGGGGTTCGCATGTTTCCAACACTCCGCCGAATTCACTCATTTAGCTGTCGGTGGACTGATGCATAATGAACGGAATTCTCCACAGCTCATCACCGATGCCGAGACGATCGCTCGGAGAATGGAGCATCGGGGCGCATGCTCATGTGATAACAATACCGGAGATGGAGCCGGTGTCATGGTTGGCCTTCCTCACACCTTTTACCAAAAAATCGTCAAGTAAGTAATCCGACGGGGTGGCTTCAAACGGATACCGCTGCGCAGAGCGCCAGACCGAGAGAGAACTAACATTATAGATCATCTGGTTCGTTGCCGAGAGCAGAAAATCGGATTCAGCTCACAAATACAGTTTCCATCCAGGGACGAGTTGGGATTCGATCTTCCGGAAAAAGGCAAATACGCCACGGGGATCGTGTTTCTCGAGAGCCTCAAGGCAACCGAGACCGAAGCGGCTTTCGAAGCAGAAGCCACCGCAGATGGTCTTAAAGTTCTCGGATGGCGAACTGTTCCCACGGATTCGACGTTCTTGGGGAACGTCGCCCGATCTACGGAGCCATTGATGCGACAGGTTTTCGTGGCTCCAGCGAACGGCCAAGACGAAGAAACTTTCAGAAGGGACTGCTTCGTTTTGCGCAAAGCCTCTTCACATAAAATTCCGGCTACCGGTCTCCGATACTATATCTGCTCGCTGAACTTGGACACCGTCGTCTACAAGGTAAATTTCGCGTTCCCGAGGTGAATTTCCCGGAGAGAGTCACTCGAGGAGTGAAAGATTCGATTTCTCAGCGTAGCGATTTCACGATCCGAAATTTACAGGGGCAACTCACATCCTCTCAATTGTGGAAGTACTTCCTGGACCTACAGAGGCCGGACTTTGAAACCTACTTGGCTCTGGTCCATGCTCGATTCTCAACGAACACTTTCCCCTCTTGGGAACGAGCGCATCCTCTCAGGGTGCTGGCCCACAACGGTGAAATCAACACCCTCCGAGGTGAGCCGCTTGCGCGAAACATTGCTGAATTATAAATCAACAGCGAATGTCCCTAATAGCTTACGGGTGGGAACTCGGTATGAATCCCTCTGCCACCGAAGAATTACGTATTTCGGCTCGTGGAACTGTTTCACGTGAGAATTCTGTGGGGCTCGATCGCGCTTATGTTCGTTGAGCACTCCCATCTGTCGGGAACGAAATGTGAGAGCAGACGAATCGGCTTGGCTCAGGTAAAGTCGATGTAGGCGGAGGTCAGTTTCCGAGGTCAAACTCACCGTGTCGTCAGCGAGACGCCAAACTTTCGCGGAGCTTTCACAGCGAGCGCGGTCTTCCTTTGTGTCGAAGCGGCCAAACCATCGGGAAAACAGGAATGTAATTAGCCGTCGATTCGGAAGAAAGACCATCAGAGGGAGACGTGTTCTGCGCGGACGTAACCTCATTATACCGCCCCCGTACGGCGTTGATTTGCTCCCCGTGCGGTTAGCTCTAGCATCGATTGGTCAGCCAGTTTTTCTCTCCCCGGCACTAGCGACGTCCCAGACGTCCCAATGAACGACGGGGAAAGAAACGGATAAGCGGAGGAGCATAAGATAAGATCAATAAAATCTCGGAGGAGTCTACTGCTGATACATATTATTGTAGGTGCTCGCAGAGAGAGCTGTATAGCTCCGAACGAAACTTCCGTGTATGGGAACGAAATTTAAATATGGTAGGGAGAGACCGTCTCCCGAGCACTTGAGCTCAACCGAGAGACTACAGTTCTCCCCTGTAGCGATATGGGACGCCGAAAGGCGTCTCTCCTGAGCACATCCTTTTTTCGGCATAATACATAAGACCACTGGGATGTCTCAGATATCATCTTTCAAGGAACCGATTATCGAGGCGGGAAAATAAAGCGTCACCCGAGTAATTAGACAGATCAAGAGAGGAAATTGTTCCGGTCTCTAACATTGTGAGCAATCATTTATTTCTCCGACAGGCAATGTAAATCTGATGCGAGCACGAGAGGGAGTCATGAACACCAATCTGTTCGGGGACAAGCTGCGCGAGCTGTATCCCGTTGTCGAGCCGAATCTCAGCGATTCAGGGAGTGTCGATACCGTTCTTGAGTTTCTGGTGATGGCTGGTCAGCGATCTCTGCCCGAGGCTGTAATGACCATGGTGAGCTGATTTCCGAAGCGATGGAGATTTCCCTCGGGGGATGAGAAGTAACCCGATTCTCATTCCATTTATAGGTACCCGAAGCGTGGCATAACGATGATCTGATGCGCCCGGAGAAAAAAGAATACTATCAGTGGAGTGCCTGCGCCATGGAACCATGGGACGGCCCTGCCTTGTTGACCTTCACCGATGGTCGTTACGTGGGAGCTGTCCTCGATCGGAACGGCCTCCGTCCGGCCCGCTACTATATCACCAACGATAACTACATGGTGATGGCTAGTGAGGTCGGAGTCCTCGACATCCCGACAGAATCGATCGTTCAGAAGGGCAGGTTGAGGCCTGGTCGAATGCTCCTTATCGACACCAAGGAGCACATCGTCACCAAAGATGAGGAGCTCAAGCTCCAGATAGCCAAGCAGAGACCTCTGAAAGAATGGCTCAAGGAATTGGTAGGTCCGAACCCGAAGTGTTCTCCGGAAATTCCGAAGTCGCGAACGATTGGTAGAGACGATCGATTCATCACTCATGGTGTCGAGGCATCGAAGCAGTCTCTTCGTGCTATTCTCATCCGTCTCTCTCGATTGCTCAGTTCACGATGGAAGATCTGCACCGCGAACAAGGAAGGCTCGATCAGCCCATCAGCGTTGTTGTCGAGAAACAGGGCAGCGGGGACGTGTTTACCGACAAGCGGCTCGGTCTCTTCGGCTACACAATCGAAACCGTGAATTTGCTTCTACTACCGATGATCCATGACAAGTACGTTCCTTTTTCCTTCCTTTTTGTCCTCAATAATGTCCCTCGATGCTGGGGACCCGATCGTCGTGGAGGGCACCCCTTCCACCCCTCTCACCCCTTCGTGTCATATGGATCTTCACATTTTGGAAACCTGTGTCGAGGAGAGTTTTTCCGGCATTCAAAGAAACTCTCTCCTCTCTGAATTGCAGCAAAGAAGCGTTGGGTTCGATGGGGAACGACGCAGCTTTCGCATGTCTTTCAAAATACCAGCCATTGGTCTACGACTATTTCAAACAGCTGTTCGCTCAAGTGACCAATCCGCCGATGGACCCGTTCCGTGAGAAGATCGTCATCTCATTGGCCTGTCCGATCGGCCCCGAAGCCAATATTCTCCAACCGTCCAGCTTGCAATGCCGGTAAGTTCCAGCTTTACAGTCGATTGATTCAGGTGTACCGATCGTTCGACGGCTCTAAATGTAGCTCTCTCTGTACCCGTGCGGGGTTCGGCGCGACGTCCATTCGATGGAATGTGCAATATTCTCGTCGAGTCACTAGACCTTGAACGATGTCCGGGGTATACGAACAAGCAGGATCGGGACGAATGAGATATCGACGCTCGGGGAACTCCGACTGGGCGGGAGGGGGTAGGGGGAAAAGACGCTGCCGTACACTTCGGAAGCTGTCCCCTCGAACACGACGAGTATCCGGCCGCGGAATTCTCACGGACTGTTCTGTCTGAGTCGGTGCCCGACCGTGAAATGAATGACACGCGTGCGAACGGGGGAGGATCCAGGGATAATGAAACGTAGGAGGGGGTCCGGACGCTTTGGAGACACTGAATTGATTTTCCAAACGAATTGATTAAACGATCGATAATAATTCTCCGAGGCAGCGATACGATCGATGGTCTGTCTCCTTTTCCAGGCGTCTCTGGCTGAACCACCCGATAATTTCCTCGAAGGACATGACCACCCTGAAGTCCATAACCCACAAAGGCTGGAAGACGAAGGTCATCGACATGGTATACTCGGTCACCCAGGGCCCTGACGGCCTGGTCCGGGCCATCGACAGGATCTGCAACGAGGCCTGCCAGGCGGCCAAGGACGGCTACACGCTCGTCGTCCTGTCCGACAAGAAGGCCGGCAAGGAGTTTGTGCCGGTGAGCGCGGCGTTGGCCGTCGGCGCCGTCCACCACCATCTGATCAACGAACGGCAGCGCATGAAGGTCGGTCTCGTACTCGAGACCGGCGAAGCCCGCGAAGTCCATCAGATCTGCGTGCTGCTCGGCTACGGAGCCGACGCCATATGCCCGTACATGGTCTACGAGCTGATGGCTCAACTGCGGGCCGACGGTCTGCTCGACGTTCAGTACACGGACGATCGAATTTTCAAAGCGTACTCACAGGCCATGTACACTGGAATCTCGAAGGTCATGGCCAAAATGGGTATCGCCACCCTGCAATCGTACAAGGGAGCCCAGATATTCGAAATCGTGGGTCTCTCGCAGGAAGTTGTCGACAAATGTTTCAAGAACAGCGCCTCTCGCATCAGCGGCTGCACGTTCCGGCACCTGGCCGACGACACATTCGAGCGGCACAAGATCGCCTACGCGGACCATCTCTGCGACACGTTCGTGCTCCGCAATCCCGGCCAGTACCATTGGCGGTCGGGGGGCGAGAGCCACGTGAACGATCCGCTCTCGGTGGCCAATCTCCAAGAGGCCGCCAAGTCGAACTCGCACGAGTCCTACGAGAAATTCGTCGAGAGTACCATGAAGTCCATCCGACAGTGCACCCTCCGGGGCCAGTTCGACATCATCGAGGCCAAACATCCGCTCGACGTGAGCCTCGTCGAGCCCGCAGCTTCGATCGTCAAACGATTCTGCACCGGGGCCATGTCGTTCGGATCAATCTCTATCGAGGCTCACACGACGCTCGCGATCGCCATGAACGCCGTCGGAGGGAAGTCCAACACCGGCGAAGGCGGGGAAAACGCCGACCGTTGGGCGCAGCAGAAGCCCGGCGAGAACAAGAGGTCCGCCATCAAGCAAGTCGCGTCAGGTCGTTTCGGTGTGACGGCCGCCTACCTCGCGAACAGCGACGAGCTCCAGATCAAAATGGCTCAGGGCGCCAAACCCGGAGAAGGCGGCGAACTGCCTGGATTCAAGGTGAGCATATCGTTCTTTGCTCGATGATCTCGGGGTCGATCGAACGGTTTTTTCGTTGCTCTCGTCGTCGTCGTCGCCGCGGTGGTGGACGCCGCGGTCGCCACTGTCGCCGCGCCGCCACCGCAACCGCCGCCGTAGTCGTCGTCGTTGTCGCCGCTAGGCCCGGGGGCGGATGTTTCACGCACGTTATAGTTTAGGCCCGTAGATAGCGGATTAGGTTAGCTATAGGTAAGCTCTGTAGGGACTAAATTGTGGGAGTTTCAGAGACTGTGTGGAATGTGGCGCACATGTGAACACGATCCATCATGTTATCAACGCCGGAGGCCATCCTCAGGTTCAAGTTGTCACAAGATTTTCTGCGCATTCGTTCTGCATGTTAACGCGCTAACTCATACTACCTCATACCCCCTGACATTTCGCTCGCAACTCTCATCATCGATGTTCGATTTCGAACCACTCAATGGAAACGCATCGATGGACCCCGGCCGAAAATTCGCTCAGCTCTGTTTTTTGTTCGCAGGTGTCGAAAGATATCGCAAAGACCCGTCATTCCATTCCGGGCGTTGGTCTCATCTCGCCACCCCCTCATCACGACATCTATTCCATCGAGGATTTAAGTGAACTCATCTACGACCTCAAGTGTTCTAATCCCAAAGCCCGGATTTCGGTGAAACTGGTATCCGAAGACGGGGTCGGTGTCGTCGCGTCCGGCGTCGCCAAGGGCAAGGCCGAACACATCACCATCTCTGGACACGACGGAGGCACTGGAGCTTCCAGCTGGACAGGAATCAAGGGGGCGGGACTCCCGTGGGAGCTGGGAATCGCCGAGACCCACCAGACACTGGTCCAGAATGATCTCAGATCTCGGTAAGGAGAACGAATTTCCATTCGAACGTTGAATTTCCCCTTCGCGGAAACCGTGAACGCACCGGAAGCCGAGAAATCGGCGGGAGAATCTGCGAAAAATTCTGCGAAAAAATCTGCAGAAAATCTGCGGAAAAAGTATGCGAAAAAATCTGCGGAAAAATCTGCAGAAATACTCAATTTCCGGTTCTGCTGCTCACAGGCATCTATTCGGTCTCTTTCAGGATTGTCCTCCAAGCCGACGGACAGATCCGGACCGGCTTCGACGTGGTCGTCGCCGCTCTGCTCGGTGCCGACGAGTTTGGCTTCTCGACCGCTCCTCTCATCGTGATGGGCTGCACAATGATGCGCAAATGTCACCTGAACACCTGCCCCGTCGGTGTTGCGACACAAGACCCGGAGTTGCGTAAGAAGTTCACCGGAAAACCCGAGCACGTCATCAACTACCTGTTCCTTCTCGCTGAAGAGGTTCGGAAGCATCTGGCCAAAATGGGGCTCACATCGCTCCAGGAGGCCATCGGTCGAACGGACCTCCTCAAAATCTACGACGGTCCCGACCGTAACGCCCGCGGGGCGTATCTCGACCTGTCACCGGTTCTGCTGAGCGCAGTGAGCTTGCGACCGGGAACCAACATCAAGGGCGGATCTATCAGACAGGACTTCGGGCTCGGCAAGCGTATGGACAATCTCCTCATCAAGCAAACCCAGGCGGTCATCGACGGCAGGTCAAAGGAAGCTACGATCCACATGGATATCACCAATGAGGATCGGGCTTTCGCGACCACCCTCGCATACCATATCGCCGCCAAGTACGATGATGCTGGCTTGCCCGACGACTCGAAAATCGATATTTTCCTCAAGGGCTCCGCCGGCCAATCCTTCTGCGCTTTCCTCAACCACGGCACGTACGTCACGCTGGAGGGCGACGCCAACGACTACGTCGGCAAAGGCCTCTCGGGCGGGGAGATCGTCATCGTTCCCCCTCCGAACGCGCCGAGCGATTTCAAGAGCGAGGAGAACATCATCGCCGGAAACGTCTGTCTGTACGGCGCCACTCGCGGGAAGGCGTTCTTCCGCGGAGGCGCGGCGGAACGATTCGCTGTTCGTAACTCCGGAGCGACGGCTGTCATCGAGTTCGTGGGCGACCACGGCTGCGAGTACATGACCGGCGGAATCGTCATGATACTGGGTCTGACGGGTCGCAATTTCGCGGCCGGAATGTCGGGCGGGATCGCTTACGTGCTCGACGTCGACGGAATGTTCCACACCAGGTGCAACACCGAAATGTGCGACCTGCTCCCGCTCGAGAGTCAGGAGGATCTCAGTTTGGTGAAAAATCTCATCGAGGAGTTCGCCTCGAAGACCGGCTCGAACGTGGCCAAGGGTCTTTTGGCCGAATGGCCGGCGTCGGCGAAGAAGTTCCTGAAGGTCTTCCCTCACGAATACCAGCGAGCTCTCAAGCAGATGGCCGAAGAACAGGCCGAGGAGAAGGTCCAGTCACCACCACAAGCGCCGCCGAAAGCCGTCGAGCAAGCGCCGCCGTTGAAGGACATCGAAGACGTCGGCGGAAAGCCGGACAAAGTCCGCGGGTTCATGAAATACAAACGCGAGGTTCAGTACTACCGGCCGGCCGAGCAACGTCTCCAGGACTGGAAGGAGATCTACAACCACACCCACGTTCGCAAGAATCTCAAGACGCAGGCCGCGCGCTGCATGGAGTGCGGAGTGCCGTTTTGTCAGTCGTCGCACGGATGTCCACTGGGCAACATCATCCCCAAATGGAACGATCTCGTATACCAGGGCAACTGGCAAGAGGCTCTCCATCAGCTCCTCCAGACGAACAATTTCCCCGAGTTCACGGGTCGAGTGTGTCCCGCACCCTGCGAAGGAGCTTGTGTGCTCGGCATTAACGAGCCGGCCGTAACCATAAAGAATATCGAATGCGCGATCATCGACAAAGGATTCGAAATGGGCTGGATGACGCCGCACCCCCCGGAGAACCGTTCCGGGAAAAAGGTCATCGTCGTCGGCTCGGGCCCCGCCGGTCTCGCCGCCGCCGCGCAGCTCAACAAGGCCGGTCACACGGTGACGGTCTACGAGAGGAACAGCCGTGTTGGCGGTCTCTTGAGATACGGAATTCCGACGATGAAACTCGGGAAGGACGTCGTCGATCGCCGAGTGAAACTCATGCAGGAGGAAGGCATCACATTCATCTGCAATAAAAATATCGGCAAGGACGTCACCGGCAAACAGCTCCTGTCCCAATGCGATGCTCTTTGCCTGACCACCGGGTCGACATGGCCGCGGGACTTGCCCATTCCCGGACGCAATCTCGAGGGAATTCATTTCGCTATGAGTTTCCTGGAGAAGTCGCAGAAGAAACTGGCCGGCGACGATCTGCCGATCATCAGCGCCAAGGACAAGAACGTTGTCGTCATCGGCGGAGGAGACACCGGGGTCGATTGCATCGCGACCTCGTTGCGACAGGGTGCTAAGAATGTCATCACGTTCGAAATTCTCCCGCAGCCTCCAGATGTCCGAGCTGAGAATAACCCTTGGCCCCAGTGGCCTCGGATCATGCGTGTCGATTATGGCCACGAAGAAGTTCGGCTCAGACACGGCAGAGACCCACGCCACTTCTCAATCCTATCGAAGGCAAGAAAACGCTTGAAATTACAATATAATTTTCGATTTCATTATTTCTACTCGGCAGCCTTTTTTTCCCTCGCCTCCCGATATCCTCGATGTAGTCGATTCCGGGGGCTCGATGGATGACAGTCTGGTCGATTTCAGGAGTTCCTCGATGATGGCAAAGGCAATGTGTCTGGAATTCGAACGGTCAACGTGAAGTGGACAAAAGACGACGCCGGTCGCTGGGTCATGGCCGAGGAAGAAGGCTCCGAGCAGGAGTTCAAAGCTGATCTCGTCCTCCTCGCTATGGGTTTCCTCGGTCCCGAGAAATACCTCCTTGAGGAGCTCGGCCTCGCGCAAGATCCCCGGTCCAATATCGACACCAAAGGCAGATACGCCACGTCAGTGCCTAGAGTTTTCGCCGCGGGAGGTGAGCCGAAAAATTATTAGCCGAAAAATCCGGGCAATATTCCTATCATTGCCCGGAAGAATCTCGAATCTTCAAGATTCGATCAGATTTTAAATTTTCGAATCTATAGAAATGCTCGATTTTCGCCCACTCGGTCAAACTCCCCGGTCTCGCTCGAGCTCTGACTCCTCTTCCCGTCGTTGCAGATTGTCGCCGTGGTCAGTCGTTGGTAGTCCACGCAATCAACGAAGGTCGGCAGTGCGCTCGTGAGATCGATCAATTCTTCAACCACGGCGAATCGACCCTGTCAGGACCTGGCGGAATTCTCCCGACCATCCGTCAGGAAGGTTAACGCATATCACCAACTGCATGACAATGAGAGGCGCCATATTATCAATAGAGTCGACGAGATTAGTTCCAGTCTGTCGGTCAGTGTACTCCGATAAATACAGAAGAATCGAAAAACTAACTAATATGTGATCAGCGCCAGTGTAAGAGTTGAGTTCCGCGTCTTTCCCGCCTCCTCTATTGAGGCCGCTACATCGATGCAAGATAACCTCAAATGCCGCCAATCAGGGTTCAGTCAGGGTTCCGGGATCGGTAGAAAGCTCCACGGGGAAACGTCTCCACCCGGAACTCGACGCGGGACGGTCACCGAGCGACTACCAGCATGATGTAGGAGAGTCTAGCCTATTGGAATTTCAGGCGGCACCTACCTTTAGAACGGCCCGAAAGTACTCAATGACCTGTTCCATGGACGAAGCTTGAAGGACGACTTGAAAACTCATTGATTTATTTTTCTAACATATTCCGGACCTGAGTACTCGATCGGGCTTTACCTCGTGATTTATCATCTAATTTATTTATGTCCGAAGTTTCATTTTTCAAGCTGATCGTTGTTGACATTCATCGGCATTTTCATTGTCGCGCCTATCGAGCTTGTCGAGCCGCACGGGCTCGGGGCGATATTCGCAATGATCTCGATGAAGGCACGATTTCCAGCACGCAGTGTTCTCTTTCATTCGAATGAGAATGAAATCTTAAGCAGGAAGACGGACGCTTAACGATGAATGCTGAGAAACCATCGTATACTGTCGAGGGGGAGAAGACCTGATTGAGCGAACGATTATATCATTTAGCTTCGTTGACAGAACACCTTCAGAATTCTAAGACTTCAGTACGACTAATTTGTTGATCTTTATAAATATATATATATACATATAATTATATACTTATAAAAGAAAGCAATGGATGGCGAAGTATCCGAGGAGCATATAGTGGAATGTCCAATATTTATAATATTATAATAAAGACTGTTACATTGTGTAGCTTCGAGTGACAGTAGGCGGCGCCGATTCCACGAGCTTCGTCCATCGATAAGCCGTTAATGGCCAACACATCGATCGATCACCGACAGTGAGACCGATTTCTGGATCCGGACTACGATTGAGACTAGGCTGTACCGCCTTCCGGAAACTCACTGGAAAAGCTTCGTTGACCCCGCTTGCGGATAGTAATCTTAGATGATACAATCCGTCGAATAGAACGGCCTTATCGATGCGAGATACGAACTCCTGGAGTCGCGCTCAGTCGTTTAGTAAATCTCGAGGATTGAATTGAATTGTAGTCAATGATTCGAATCGACTGATCATAGAATCGATTGATACTCCCATATTCGTTCTTCCCTTGACGAGGGCGGACGGGGGGGTTCCTCATCAATTCATCCTTTAATTGAGAAAACTATTTACACCGTTTATTGACGTACCTTGATTGTACAAGGCACCTCTCACCTGCCTGACGGCTCATCCGGCTCGTGGAATCGACGGAAGGAAACACCAATCCTCGAGTCCGAACGAGCACGCATAGGCTCACGTGGGGGTGCGCGGAACACGGGGTGACAGGAAAAAAAAAACAATGACCCGAACAAGCGAATCCATCTACAGACAAATATGATCCACACGAACCACCCGACAAGAATCACAGACACTTCAAACATCTGAACAAAGAAGGAGGATTACACACCACGACAGAAGCGAAGGGTGAACGGAGAATCGGGAACTCAGACGGACGAAACACGAAAGACACACAAATATTATATCCTAGGTAGCATTCAAGTTCTGTGAACGTACAACTCCCCAATGACGCCCAGGAAATCTGTCGCCGGGCAGCCTGTGTGGGCCGCCACATTGCAGCCCAACACTACGATTCATTGGGGATCCCTGATTTTATTCCTCAGTCACGTAATCGCCGACTATAATTTTTATTTTTCGACCTAAAGGTGTACCCTCAGACAACTGTGCCCTCACCCGTGAATCCGTCCGTGCGTTCGAGGGATCGATTCACGGATTTCGAACGCTCTCGATGGAGAGCTTTGAAGAGATAGTGTTCGGTGAATACAGAACCTGTAGGGATTCCGAGAAACCCCGTAAACGATCATGAAGTATAGTGGGATTCTTATGCGTATGCATACATATAGTAGCGAGATGGTGTCCTAGGTGCAGAGCCGTGACGAGCTTTCTGGACGGAACAGTACTCAATGTCTTTCAAGGATGTCTTCCAGCTGAAATCAATCGTGCCCTCGAGGGTCCAGCTCTACTTCTCTGGCACGGTCATTAGACCTCGTCGATACTATGGCGGTCTGTCTCTCTCTCTTCCTACAGGAAATGCATACGTGGTGCTTCGTGCCATCTTTCACAGAGCTTGGGCCCTAGGCTCCTTGAATAGAAAGAGACGCTTATGTAGAACTGAACGACAATAATAAAGATATCATCACGCTGATTGATCTCCTTTTTCTTCTAACGATAGGCTTCCTTCAAGGCGTCGACGCTCACAAACATTCAACGCTTTTCACTAAAGAGAGGCTGTGCGGTCTGACGTCTGACTGACTGAGTGAGACAGCCCTTGTCCGAGCTT